CCCAAGACTCCATTTTTTAAATAGCTGAATAGTATTCCATGATATATATACCACAGCTTGTTAAACCATTTCTGGGTTGGTGGGCGTTTAGATTGTTTCCACATTTCGGCAATTGTAAATTGAGCTGTTATAAAGAATCTAGTGCAAATATCCTTATGATAAAATGATTTTTTTCTTCTGGGTAGATGCCTAATAATAGGATTGCAGGATCAAATGGGAAGTTTAATTTGAGTTCTTTGAGAACTCCCCATAATTCTTTCCAAAAAGGTTGTATTAGTTTACAGTCCCACCAACAGTATAAAAGTATTCCCTTCTCTCCACATCCACGCCAGCATTTGCAACTTTGGGACTTTGTAATATGGGCCATTCTCACTGGGGTGAGGTGATCTCTCAGGTTAGTTTTGATTTGCATTGCTCTGATGATTAGGGATGAAGAACATTTTTCAAATGTTTGTTAGCCATTTGTCTTCCTCAGAGAAGGTTCAGTTCATATCTCTTGCCCAGTGGTTGATGGGTAGCCACTACTTTTATTGATTAATTTGAGTTCTCTGTGTATTCTAGTTAACCCTTTGTCAGATTCATACCATACAAATATCTTTTCCTATTCTGAAGGTTGTCTTTTTGCTTTAATTGTTGTGTCCTTAGCTGTGCAGCTTAATTAAGTCCCATTTGTTTATTTTTGTTGTTGTTGCCATTATCGCTGAAGTCTTCTTCATAAACTCTTTCTCCAGGCCAATATCTTCAAGGGTTTTCCCCACACGTTCTTCTAAGATTTTTATCATTTAGTGTCTTAGATTTGAATCTTTTATCCATCTTGAGTCAATTTTTTTAAGTGGTGAAAGGTGCAGGTCCAATTTCAGTCTTTTACATGTGGTAATCCAGTTCTCCCAGAACCATTTGTTGAATAGGGATTCTTTTCCCCACATATGCTTTTGTTTGGTTTGTCAAAGATCAGATGGCAAGTAGAGACTAGTTTCTTTCTTTTTTTTTTTTTTTTTGAGACAGAGTCTCACTATGTTGCCCTTGGTAGAATGCCATGGTGTCACAGTTCACAGCAACCTCAAACTCTTAGACTTAAGCGATTCTCTACCTCAGCCTCCCCAGTAGCTGGGACTACAGGCATCTGCCACAATGCCTGGCTATTTTTTTTGTTGTAGTTGTCATTGTTGTTTAGCAGGCCTGGCCAGGGTTCGAACCTTCCAGCCCCAGTGTACGTGGCTGGCACCCTAACCATTGAGCAATGGGCACCGAGCCTAGACACTAGTTTCATCTCTTGGTTTTCTTTTCTGTTCTGTATGTCTATATCTCTATTTTTGTGTCAATACCATGCTGTTTTGATCACTGTGGACTTGTAATATAACCTGAGGTCTGGTAGAGTGATGCCTTGGCCTTTATTTTCATTACTATGAATTCCCTTGGCTGGCTTGGCACCCATAGCTCAGTGAGTAGGGCACCAGCCACATGCACTGAAGCTGGCAGGTTCAAGCCTGTCCCAGGACGCTAAACAATAACTGCAACCAAAAAATACCCAGGCGTTGTGGCAGGTGCCTATAGTCCCAGCTGCTTGGGAGACTGAGGCAAGAGAATCGCTTAAGCCCAAGAGTTTGAGGTTGCTGTGAGCTGTGACACCACGGCACTCTACCCAGGGTGACATAGTGAGACTCTGTCTGAAAAAAAAAAAAAGAATTGTCTTAGCTATACAGGTACTTTTCTGGTTCCATACAAAACAAAGTACTATTTTTTCCAGTTCTTCAAAGTATGATGTTTATATTTTAATGGAGATTGCATTGAATCTATAGATTGCTTTGGGTAGAATAGACATTTTAACAATGTTGATTCTTCCCAGCCAAAAGCATGGTTAAATATAACTTTTATATGCACCAGGAAACCAAAAAATTGTGTGATTAGTTTTATATTCAATATTCACTTTATTGTGGTTGTCTGGAATGGAACCTACAATCTCTCTAAGGTATGACTGTATTTGGCCTTAACTATTCGCTGAGTTGCTTCAATGTGAAACATAAAATTAATGCAGTGCCTTAGAGACTCCCAATTGTGTTTACTTCTTTTCAGAGCCTTAATCTATGAGTTTAGGTAATTTAACCAGGAATTAAGTAGAGCCTGGCATGCCAACTATCTTTGCTAAGGACATGGATCACAGACTTGCAGATTGTGAACATGTCAAGGATTAATATCACAAAGTAGAGTCCCCAGATAGACACACTGGAAGAGAGAGATAAGATGATTGCTGACGTTTATCGAGTCCTTATATGGTCATGTTTTTAGCTCTTTACCTACGTATTATCTCCTTTAATCTTCAAGTTTGTATATTATGTGACCTTTATGCAGGGGATAAAAATGATGTTTTACAAGGCTCAAAAAAATTTGCCCAAGGTCACACAGCTAATATGTTGTAGATCTGAGATGTTTACCCATTTTACTACTCCACTCATGGGAAATAAAAGATAAAAGCAGTCTTACTTAGCATGGTAGTACAAGACCATAAAAATGACCATGCCAGCTGAAACTATGCAAAGCAAGCTTAAGAATCGATGGGGAAAATTATGACTGTCCTAAGACTTTAACAAATTTCTGTCTGTTGTCTAAGCTACTTGGGAGGCTAAGAGAGAAAGGTTGCTTAAGCCCAGGAGCTTGAGACCAGCCTGGGCAACATAGGGAGACCCTGGGTCTTTAAAAAAAAGCATGTTTTTTAATCAAAACATTAAAAACTGTCTTGCTGTCTGTTATAAATACATACAAAAATGAAAGGAAAAAAATATTTAGTACGCCATAATTTAAAACATTGGAAACATTGAGAATTAAAGTGTTTTGTTTCTTTGTAAAAAAGTGTATCAACTGTGAATATATTGAAAACCATTGGATTGTATGCTTTAAATGGGTGAATTGTATGGTACATGAACCTCAATAAAGCTGTGAAAAAAATGAACCTATCAAAAGTAATTTGAACAATGCTCAGTGCTTGCCTTGTTCTTCTTGTATCATTTGAAATATGGAGCAAGCATCTTTTCTATGTCTTGGTGAATTGTCATATTTCTTTTTAAGTTTGGATCAGCTGCCAACATTTTAGTCTTTGCACTTTGAACGTTGTGAAATATCTCAGAGTTCCTTCAATGTGAAATTTTTTTTGGCCAGCGTCACTTCCTCTGGGAAAGCTTCATCCTTTTCATCACAGCCTCTTTCCTCATTTATGTTGATAAGTTCACCCTCACCAAGTTCCTCTAGCTACATATCTGCAGTGTCTTGAATGATGGCAGTGTCAGTATTCCCACAGTTACCTATTTCTTCTAGAACTCCATTTATGTTCGATCCCAAAAGTTATCACTTTTTGTCTCTTTGCTAGCCAATTCCCTCTTTCAAGTTTCCATTTTTATAAAATGACACATGGGCTTACCGCTGGGAAACAAAGAGGCAACACAATTACATACTTTGCTGTCTGTGTGTGAATTGAATAACAGATTCACAGTGACCAGTCACTGACAGGCTTTGGAAGAAATGTCATGATTTGTCACTAATCATGATGCCCATCTGTCATTTATGCAGTGATCTATGGACTAAAGAGCTAGCAGCAGAGTTTGTGTTTTATATAATTGCTCAGAATTATGCCATAGCAACTGAAATTGGAGCTGTTTTGTTGGGGGACTGGTATTATTAAATGTAATAGTGTTGATTGAAATTCATGCATGCTAAAATGGTACAAAAGGAGGACTGCCTCTGTGTATATATGAGTGTGTGTGTACATGGGAGTGTCACTATGTAATGTATTCTAAAGGCCTTGTTCTTATTCCTTTTCCTAGCATTGTAGTTCTCCTCCCCTATTTCTAGCTCTTAAACATACATTTATGTTAATTGATTATATATACTGTATTTGTATTTTGGTATTCCTAATTTGATATTTTAAACTTGAAAAAAGAAAATTAGGATTTCTACAAATATTCCAAATGAAAATAGTGAAATTCTCCACTTAGCACCAGAAATGAGCTCATCATTTCTAAAAGGATTTGCACAAATGTCCTCTCAACTCAAGCATCTTATGAAAAAGCACTACCAGGTATGCAGAATACCTGGCTATTATCATTAATTTTTAGATCCATTTGAGTTTACTATATCTGCATTATATGTATATTTGCTATAAAATGATTATGAATTACGTAAATATCTAGTGAGTGTGATGCTATGTGCATTATACTGTGTGACATGGATCCTGCCATCCAGTAAGAAAGCTAAGATGTACATAGATAATGAAAATATTGAATAGTCAGTAAGAAGAGCCAGAGAAGAGAGATGCTGATAAAATTCAGAGATGAGATCACAGAACGCCTTTTGGATTAGTGACATTTGAGTGGAGCCTTCAGAAGTATGTCTAAAAACATTTTAAGGCACCCACAACCAATCACTTAATTTTTTTTAAAGATAGTGTCTCACACGGTTGCCCAGGCTGGAGTGTAGTAGTGTGATCATAGCCTACTGTATCTTTGAACTCCTAGGCTCAAGTAATCCTCCTCCTTAGCCTCTCAAGTAGCTGGGACTACAGGGACATGCCACCACACCCAGCTAATTTATTTATTTATTTGTAGAGACTATGTTTCCCAGGCTGGTTTCAAATTCCTGGCCTCAAGCAATCCTCCTACCTCAACTTCCCAAAATGCTGGGATTACGAGTCACCACATCCAGCCCCACAACCAATCATTCTTTTTTTTTTTTTGAGACAGAGCCTCAAGCTGTCCCCATGCGTAGAGTGCTGTGGCATCATAGCTCACAGCAACGTCCAACTCCTGGGCTCAAGCGAGTCTCCTGCCTCAGCCTCCCAAGTAGCTGGGACCACAGGTGCCCGGCTATTTTCTGATTGCAGCCGTCGTTGTTGTTTGGCAGGCCCAGGCTGGATTTGAATCCACTGCCTTAGGTGTATGTGACTGGCGCCTTAGCCACTTGAGCCACAGGCACCGAATCCCCAATCATTCTTAATTGTTTATTCCATACAGTATTCCAGTCTTTTGGATGAGACTCCTGCACTTTCTGGTGGCAGAAATAACTACTGGCGAAAATTAAGCCTAGAAGATATTCCCAGGACAATGATAATGCATGACATAATTGATTATGCGGAGTCTAAAGTAATCTCAAACCGTCTACGAAAAGAAATGAAATACCTGTTACAGAGACCAAGAACAGAAGAGATGCGTCAGCACCAACTACAGATTGTTTCTGAAATTAGGTAAGAGAGATCTTTCATTGGAGTTACAATACTAGGTACATACTTGAAAATGTTCACATTCTGTCAGATAGCTCACTAAAGATAGTAATAGGGCATATGGGGAAAAGAGAATTGGGGCAGATTGCTCAAAACTTATGCAACTTTGTAAACAGAGCACTAACAAAAAGGACAATTGGTACTTGGGGAGATAACTTGTACCACCAGGCAGGCAGTTCAGTGTAGCTGGAGGCTACCACGTGAAATATAAAAAATGTACAATGACAGAGTGGAAATGTTGGCAACTCTTTAATTAGAGCAGGTAGTGGACAGAGACAGTGCGAATGGAAGTGGAGCCCTGGGCCAGGCATGGTTGCCTTTTAAGCAGATGTGAGAGGCAGCACAGCCAAAACCCAAGAGACATCCAAGATGGTGGGGTGGGCAGTGGGGGAATAGAGTGGAGGGCAGTAAGAGTAGGCTAAGGCAGGGTGTGCCTTTCTGAGGAGAGAGCCCTTACTGCAGGTGCTAATTTTTGTTTTCATAAATATAGCCAAAAGGGCTCTCATTGCCCATGCTGCACAGATCTGAGGGCTTTTTCCTTTTCTGCTGAAGGTTATAATTCTATTTTTGCTATTCTGGCTCCCCTTGCCTAGAATAAATTGCATATAAATTAGAGTGACATTATTCCCTTCTTTACCAATAGCATGTGAGCCAGTTCACATTATAGAAATGCATGTTGTAACAAAATAGATGCATTATGATCTGAAACAACAAGGACAGAATATGACTGTTCCAATTATGTTCCTTTTTTCTTTCCATTATTAAGTCTCACCTAGCCTATCTTATTTACAAATTCAGCTGGCTTTCTTAAGAAAAAGAAAGAGATAATAAGACTGATAAATACCTCTTGGTAATCTATTTTCACACACTCATATTTGAAATGAAAAATACTCCTTTAGTATATGAAGAAGACACTGATGACCCACTGTCAAGCAAACATGCTGGGTTTTTTTCAGGAGTAGAGATGAGTGATGCTGACCCAATAACATAATATAACCCATTTATTTTATGATCAGGGCTATACATTTGCCAGACAGATGGCCTGGTTTAGGGCACAGTCTGTCATCATGAAATAGATTTTCTCTAACTCATCCATATGAGCACTGAATATAGAAAGAACTTAACCCTATTACTACCAAGGTCAAATAAATGATGTAATTTTCTCTGCCACCATATATAACCCTGGGTTCCCTGCTATTTGGATTTATGCTACTGATTATCCAAGAATAAGTCACTTAAGAGTCAAATAAGTAGCCAAATTCTAAATCAATTGAAGAGGAGAAATACTTTCACAAAGGCGTTTTTAAATGCAGTCTTCATTTGGGATCTTCTAGAGCAGCGGTTCTCAACCTGTGGGTCGTGACCCACAGGAACTGTATTAAAGGGTCGCGGCATTAGAAAGGTTGAGAACCACTGTTCTAGAGGCAAACCCAGAGACAAAAATTTGAGTATAAGTAATTTGTCTGGGAGGTAATCTCTGGAACCATTGAAAGGAGGGGGTTGAGAGGTGAAACAGAGAAGGGAAAGCAGCCAAAATAGTATGTGTTAGCAAGCAGGTTACCACTATGGGTAACTAGACCTTAATTCCTCCTGGGAATGTCAGAGCCAATGTACAACATGCAACTCAGAGTTATCCCACAGGGGCAAGAGAGTTGGGTACTGGTACACCGACACCCATTGGTCATTGTTTAAGGTTTTACCTAGGAGGGAAGGTATTAATCCTCAGGTACTTTTGGCCTCTCCTACATATGGATGGGCTCTTGTTTTCAAAGAAAGCTTTCAGGCTGAGTGATGCAGATTCTGGCAGTTGAAAGATGGGCCTATATGCCCTGCAGTGGTAATGCCAGTGGGATTGTGGGCATAGCACCAACTGTATCTGATCCCAATACTGATAAAAACAGCTTGTTTTTTCAACCACTAAGAAATGTAATACTTTTTTGTATTAGTGTATGGTGTAAAAAACCTAGATTCAGATGGCTACTACACAGTATTTGCCAGGAAAACTAATTTTAAATTGATATCAGCTTTTATAATTTTCATTATCATTGTTGTCAACATCATCACTAATATACCTTTATAAGTGCCAGATAAAGAACTATGCTATGTAAACTCAAGCAGAAATGATAACTTTAACCTAAAAGCATACACGCAGTATTACTGGGATCTATGATTTATTTGCTAAAGAAGGCTTTAATAAATTTTGGAACTTGCTTTACATATAAATTTTATTTTGTATGATTTTTCTGTCTATAATGCAAATATTTTCTAGGTATCCATCTTTCTCAATTACCCAACCTTTATATCGGTCCTGGAGACAGCAAAGTCAAGTTAAACATCTAGGTCGTCGATCCAAGAAAGCTCAAATGAAGGTTGAAAAAATGAAAAAAGCTTATTTGGCTAAAGAAAAAAATGCTTCTACGGTGACCGTAAGTTTAACTTTTACTGAATTCATTATTTTGGACAATCTTCCAACTGCCTGTAAGTAATTCTACTTGCAAAAGTGAAATTTTCTTGACCTACATGAGTTCAAGGCTGAAACACCTTTGGCATATTATACTTTGGATAGTACTAATTTCATCTCAGTAACACATATTTTTAAAATTCTTAAACAATATTTGTAACAATTCTGATAAACACCAGCTGTTTTGGCTCCACATTAGTGTGAGTTGGCAACAAAACTACTGTCTCTCAGTGTTGACACTTTTGATTCAGAATATCTCTCTCTGATGGTGCTCTTCTCAAAATGGAAGTCATTTCTGGCCAGGCTCAGTGGCTCACGCCTGTAATCCTAGCAGTCTGGGAGGCCAAGGCAGGTGGATTGCTTGAGCTCAGGAGTTCAAGACCAGCCTGGCCTAAGCAAGAGTGAGATCACATCTCTGAAAAATTAGCCAGGCATTGTGGCAGGCGCCTGTAGTCCCAGCTACTTGGCAGGCTAAGGCAAGAGGATCACTTGAGCCCAAGAGTTTGAGATTGCTGTAAAGTATGATGCCAAGGCACTCTACCAAGGGCGACAAAGTGAGACCCTGTCTCAAAAAAGAAAAAAATGGAAGTCATTTCTAGCTAAACTTATTAAAAGCTACACTATGTAAAGCCTGCGTCAGTATACTTTTACATTGTAGAAATATTTACAGGAAACATGTACTCATGTATTACTTTGTAATTTTAAAAAATATACAGTAAATTTGGGGGGATAAGGCTAAATATAAAGAGTCAAATATAAAAGTATAAAGTAGTGAAAAACAAATATAAAAACACTTCTCACTTTTATTTATAATTCTGCTTAGGAACTGACAATGGACACAGCAGGTGCAAAGCAACAACAGACAATAATCATCTCCACCCCATCTTTTAACATTGTGAAAATTGATGAGCCCATTTCAGACAGTGATTCAGAAAAAGAAAAAAAGGACTTATTTACCTGGTCTCAAGATGTATGTGTTGGTAGTTCTCCGCCATATTAATGCACAGCTAATTGACAGAAAACCAAAGTTGTTTAATAACCTGCTTGTCTGTTTATAAATGATAAGGTTGAGCAATAAAGGAAAATAAAACAGAATCCAGTGTTCTGTATGCTTTCTTAACTAAATGTGTGACATATTTTTAGGCCTTTTTATATTACCATAGTTGCAAATATTTTTTTTACTGAGAGAATTTTAATCTGAACACATTATTTCTACTAGATGCCTTCAAATTGGCAGTATACAGTTTTGTTCAAGAAATGATGAATAAATTAGTCCCTGGGACTTTTATTTGATTTTGATCTTCCTTCATTTAAAAAAAATCTGAACAGGCCCTGCTTAGCATAAATATTAGAATTCACAGAATAAAAGGCTGCTCGAGTCAGCTTCCAGTGTCTTTTTTTTTTTTTTAGTTGAATGTTGTTTTTACAGAACAGCTTGTGAATGACCTATTCTGAATGATAATAAAAATAATAATGGATTTGTTGCTACAGTAGGTGTGACATAGCATAGCTAATCATTATTGAGCATTGTAAGCACCTGAAGCAGAATGTTGCATCTGCTTTGTTGTTGTATTTTGGATATTTTTCAAGTACAAAGACAGTTTTGAGTAATATTTATCAATTTCATTTTGAATTGATAAATTCTCGTTCGTGATATAGTACAAATTATTGATTTCTTTTTTGATCCAGACAATAGGATTATATCAAACCCTAGCAGAGGGTGTGATAATTAAACAAAGTACAATTAGTTATCAAACTTTAAAAATACAATTTTTTATTTTGCTTAAAATGGACAGGTTGATTGCTGATCTAACTCAGGCATGGCAGCCTACAAAAGGGTCCCATTCTCTGCTAAAATATTCTCAAATGTTAAAGAATATTGGAGTAAAAGTGTGTATTCTCACTAGGATATATTTAACAGAAATGCACACTCTTTAATATTAATACATGGTCATACAGTGTCCATAAAGGGAGGCATAATCCCCTTGTTTTCAGAGCTCATACTGGACACTGGTTGAATAGAAAAAAACCTATTTGTCCTCATAAGTCATACATATTCTCATTCATTTATTTGGGAAGCAGTCTCTCATCGGATCAAATGCATATCAGATTCTGCCTACCTATGATAATAATGAAGCTAAAGGAAGATTTCAGGTAGCAAGATGAAAGAAAAGGACAAAGGAAGGACATACTCTTTATATTTCAGGGTTCCAACTTCTCATATTTCATTAGCTGTAGCTACTTGTCATCATAACACCTAGTAACAAAGGAAGCTAAGAAAATGTACCTTTGTTCTGGGCAGTTATGTACCAAACTAAAATTCTGTTGTTATAAGAAAAAAAAGGGGGGGGTAATGGATATTAAGGCACAGCTAGGATCTGCTGCCAGACAGAGATCATGTCTTCTATTGATTCTTTTAATTCACATTAAACAATGTAACTAAATCACAAAAAAAAATTTTTAAAGTAGAAGTATATATAATTTCAACACCATAATATAACTGTTTTCATTTGCTTATACCTTTCTTTTTTTTAAATAGTTTTGTTAATTTTTTTTAATTTTTAAAGTATTTATTTATTTATTTATTGAGACAGAGTCTCACTCTGTCACCCTCGGTAGAGTGCAGTGGCATCACAGCTCACAGCAACTTCCAACTCTTGGGTTTAAGCGATTCTCTTGCCTCAACCTCCTGAGTAGCTGGGACTACAGGCACCTGCCACAACGCCTGGCTATTTTCTGTTGCAGTTGCCACTGCTGTTTTAGCAGGCCGGGGCTGGGTTCAAACCCGCCACCCTCGGTATGTGGGGCTGACGCCTTATCCACTGAGCCACAGGTGCCGCCCTACTTATACCTTTCTAATCTATCTAAATACATATATATTTTTCACATGGTGGTAATCATAGGTAACATGTAGACTTAAACCTTTCACTTAATCTTATGTCTTAAACATTGTCCATTTAAAAAAATAGCCTATCAAGTTGATAAAGCATAATTTACCTAGCCATACCCATATCATTGGCTATTTTAGTTTTTAATTTTCTAATTTTTCACTACCATAGGTAATTAATATTACAATGAATGTCTTCATACATAGTGTTCTTTATTTTGGTTATCTTTCTGTTATTTATTTTTAACCTAATAGCACTGTAATCAAGAGAACATGATTTATATGATACTGATTCTGGGAAACTTGCTGGGACTTGTTTTATAGCCAAGTACATGGTCAGTTTGGAGGGGAGGGGAGGGCAGAGGACGGATGGAGGGAGGGTAATTGGTGGGACCACACCTACGGTGCATCTTACAAGGGTACATGTGAAATTTACTAGCTGTAGAGTATGAATATCTTAACACAATAACTAGGAGAATGCCATGAAGGCTATGTTAACCAGTTTGATGAAAATATTTCAAATTGTGTGTGGAACCAGCACATTGTACCCCATGATTGCATTAATGTGCACAGCTATGATTTAATTAAAAAAAAGAGAGAGGGCTCGGCGCCTGTGGCTCAAGTGGCTAAGGCGCCAGCCACATACACCTAAGGTGGTGGGTTCAAATCCCCAGCCCGGGCCCGCCAAACAACAATGATGGCTGCAACCAAAAAAAATGGCCGGGCGTTGTGGCAGGCGCCTGTAGTCCCAGCTACTTGGGAGGCTGAGGCAGGAGACTCGCTTGAGCCCAGGAGTTGGAAGTTGCTGTGAGCTGTGATGCCATAGCACTCTACCCAAGGGGACAGCTTGAGGCTCTGTCTCAAAAAAAAAAAAGAGAGAGAGAGAGACACTCACAAAAATGGTTCTTGTACTCTTAAGAAAAATGTGCATTCTCTATAGCTGGATACAAAGTTCTATAGATATACGTCCTTTAGATCAAACTTGTTAATCATATTATGTTTTCCATATGCTAATTTTTGATCTGTGTGACATCAATTATTGAGAAATGGGTATGTTATGTATATCTCTACTATGGTGGTGAACTTGTCAGTTTCTCATCATAGTTCTTTCCATTTTTGCTTTATGTTATTTGAAGATATCATTAGGTACCTATGTAATTTTGGAATTAGCATCTCTTCCTGGTGATTAAAACCTGTTGTCATTATGTAGTTACTAATTTTGTCTTGAAGAGTATTTTGTCCAATATGAGCAGAGCTATTCTATAGTTTTCTTCTGGTTAATGCCTGCCTGGCATATCCCCTTCCATCTTTTTTTTTTTTTTTCAACCTTTTCATGTGTCAGAAACTGGCTAGAGGCTCACTAATGCCATTTTCCTGAGAACACAAGACAGCATTTCCCAGCTTTCTTTGCAGTTTATGTTGGGACCATGTGAGCTGACTTCTGACCATTTTAGCCCCTAAAATGTTTTTTTGTTTTTTGTAGAGACAGAGTCTCACTTTATAGCCCTCGGTAGAGTGCCATGGCACCACAGCTCACAGCAACCTCCAACTCTTGGGCTTAGGCGATTCTCTTGCCTCAGCCTCCCGGGTAGCTGGGACTACAGGTGCCCACTACAACATCCAGCTATTTTTTGTTGTAGTTTGGCCCGAGCCAGGTTTGAACCCACCACCCTTGGTATATGGGGCCGGGACCGTACCTACTGAGCCACAGGTGCTGTCCGGCCCCTAAAATGTTATACATGCTCTTAAGTTTTACCTATCTCCTCCCTCCCCCTTCCCCTCTCTCCTGTGCATATGGCTCAAGACAAAGAACTCTAAAGTGGAAGAAGCAGGACTGAATGATCCCAGATTCCTGTATCACTGACTGAAGGAAAGACAGCCAGAGCAGCAGCATGATTTGACGAACTGTGATGTGAGCAAGAAATAAGCTTTGTTGTCTTAAGCCCCATGCATTCGTAGGAGTCATTTGTTAACTAGGAACTAACATTAGTTATTCCAATACTTTTTTTTTTTTGAGACAGAGTCTCACTATGTCACCCTCAGTAGAGTGCATGGCATCACAGCTCACAGCAACCTCAGACTCTTGGGCTTCAGTGATTCTCTTGCCTCAGCCTCTCAAGTAGCTGGGACTACAGGCACCTGCCACAACGCCCAGCTATTTTTTGCTTGTAGTTGTCATTGTTGTTTGGCAGGCTCGGCCTGGGCTTGAACCGGGCTCGAACCCTCCACCTTCGGTGTATATGGCTGGCGCCCTAGCCACTGAGCTACAGGAGTTGAGCCACTCTGATACAATGTTAAACACTGTCTTTGTGTTTTAGGTTTTCTGTAGGACATTGCAAATATCTAGATTGTTTTGTTTTGATCCAATCTGAGGATATATTTCAACTGGTGAGTTTAGTCCATTTATACTTTATTGCAATTTTGTTTTTCTTAAAAAATTTCTGGATTGCAGTACATTGAGCTCCATAGAGACAGCACAAGGGTAAATGAGAGCCAGACGGAAAATTTTAAAATTTTCTGAGGAAAAATAACTAAACATGGGCAAAGGAGGTCCTAAGAAGCTGAGAGGCAAAATGTCATCATATGCATTCTTTGTGCAAACTTGTCGGGAGGAGCACAAGAAGAAGCACCCAGATGCTTCAGTCAACTTCTCAGAGTCTTCTATGAAGTGCTCAGAGAGGTGGAAGACCATGTCTGCTAAAGAGAAAGGAAAATTTGAAGATATGGCAAAGGCGGGCAAGGCCCGTTATGAAAGAGAAATGAAAACCTATATTCATAAATCTCCTAAAGGGGAAACAAAGAAGAAGTTCAAGGATCCCAATGGAACCCAGAGGCCTCCTTCGGCCTTTTTCTTGTTCTGTTCTGAGTATCGCCCAAAAATCAAAGGAGAACATCCCGGCCTATGCATCAGTGATGTTGCAAAGAAGCTGGGAGAGATGTGGAATAACACTGCTGCGGATGACAAGCAGCCTTATGAAAAGAAGGCTGCAAAGCTGAAGGAAAAATACGCAAAGGATATTGCTGCAGACCGAGCTAAAGGAGAGCCTGATGCAGGATAAAGGGAGTCATCAGGCTGAAAAAAGCAAGAAAAAGAAGGAAGAGGAGGAAGATGA